CTGGTTAATTGTTCTAACTGTCAGGAAGTTTCTCCTTAGTTCTAGGTTGCTTCTCTCCTTGATTAGTTTCCATCCGTTGCTTCTTGTCCTGCCTTCAGGCGCTTTGGAGAATAGCTTGACTCCCTCTTCTTTGGGGCAGCCCCTGAGATATTGGAAGACTGCTATCCTGTCCCCCCTCGTCCTTCTCTTCGTTAAACTACACATACCCAATTCCAGCAACCGTTCCTTATATGTTTTAGCCTCCAGTCCCCTGATCATCTTTGTTGCTCTTCTCTGCACTCTTTCTAGAGCAGTGGTTCTCAACCTGTGGATCGGGACCCCATTTGGGGTCGATCGACCATTTCACGGGGGTCGCCAAGCAAGGCTGTCTGCCATTTTTTCCTCCTTTTCCGGCGGGTGCCTTACCTCCCTTGGGCTGGGCCAGCTGGTGGTCAGCCTGCTCCGTTTCTGCCGCTTGCCAGCTATGCCTCGGCCGGCGCAGGGGGCTGAACCACGGATGCGTGGCGCTCCCGGGCAGGGAAAGTCCTCGACTTACGACCGGTTGGGTAGTCCTCGACTTACAACCGGGTTAGTCCTCGACTTACGACTGGTTTAGTCCTCGACTTACGACCGGTTTAGTCCTTGACGTACGACCGGTTGGGGTCGCGGCATTAAAAAGATTGAGAACCACTGTTCTAGAGTTTCAACATCTTTTTTACATCGTGGTGACCAAAACTGGATGCAGTATTCCAAGGCATTGTAAAGTGGTATTAACACTTCACGTGATCTTGATTCTATCCCTCTGTTAATGCAGCCTAGCACTGTGTTGCCTTTTTTTGGCAGCTGCAGCACACTGAGTGAATGAACCTCAGAATGTATCGGCTGCTGAATGAAGGGATCTTACCTGTGAATTTCTAATGACATGGTTCGCTTCAAGCTGAATGGAGAAGTTCACCCCGAGCTCGGATGAAAAGGAATCCATTGGAGAAAGCGTTCCCGAGGTTAAAACGATGGATCTGACCACACTGCTTAAATTGGAGAAGGCCTACAGAAAATAAACACACAAAACATTTCCACGTTTGTTGCTTTCAAGTGCAGATCCTTAAATCCCCAAAACGTCCCTACAAGGCAGTCCTCGATTTACTACAGTTGAGAGCGGAATTTTCGTTGTTAAGCAAGGCAGTTTTTACGTCAGTCACAGCCAATTTTACAACCTGTTTTGCCATAGTCAATAAGCAAATCATCTGCATTTGTTAGGTTAATAATGTGGTTTGAGTGGTTGAAACGCTGGGCAGTGTCATGCAATGGGTGGAAACTAACCAAGGAGAGAAGCAACCTAGAACTAAGGAGAAACTTGCTGACAGTGAGAACAGTTAACCAGGGGAACAACCTGCCTCCAGAAGCGGTGAATGCTCCAACACTGGAAGTTTTTAAGAAGAGACTGGACAGCCATTTGTCCGAAATGGTATAGGGTCCGAAATGGTATATGAGCAGGGGGTTGGACTAGATGACCTTCAAGGTCCCTTCCAACTTTACTACTACTACTACTACTACTACTACTACTACTACTACTACTACTACTACTACTATTATTATTATTATTATTATTATTATTATTATTATTATTATTATTATCCTGCCCTGGACCTTCTCTGGAGGCGAGTTCAGAGGAGGAGGGTGAGTTTGAGTCGGCAGAGGAAAGCGCGCAGCCGAATACTGCTTAGGATCGGGGTTCAGAGAATGCTAACCTGATGGAGCAGGTGCCCCCCACCCTTTTCAATGAGGAGGAGGTGGAGTTCACACCTCCTCCTGTTCCAAGGTCACGTTGAGCAGAAAGGAGGCAGGCACAATGTGGATCAGCGAGACTATTCGCGAGGAGGCAACCTTGCCTCTCATGAAGGGTTGCACTGGCGTTACCTACAGTAGTGGCCAAAATTGTGGAAACCTTTTGGGAAAAGTGTATTTTTGAGGTTTGATGGCTAATAACACCACTTTTTTGGGCAGTAGTACCATAAAATTATATATCAATGGAAAGATAATTTAATCAAGAATGTAATGCAACAAAGTTTGTTCAATTATCTGTACTGTGAAAGTTGGACCATAAGAAAAGCCGAGCGCCAAAGAATTGAGGCCTTTGAACTATGGTGCTGGAGAAGACTCCTGCGAGTCCCCTGGACTGCAAGGTGATCAAACTGGTCAGTCCTAGAGGCGATCAGCCCTGACTGCTCTTTAGAAGGCCAGATCCTGAAGTTGAAACTCAAGTACTTTGGCCACCTAATGAGGAGGAAGGACTCACTGGAGAAGAGCCTGATGCTGGGAAAGATGGAGGGCAAGAGAAGAAGGGGACGACAGAGAAGGAGGTGGCTGGATGGAGTCACTGAAGCAGGAGGCGTGAGCTTCAATGGACTCCAGAAGATGGTAGAGGACAGGAAGACCTGGAGAAACGTCGTCCATGGGGTCGCGATGTGTCGGACACGACTTCACAACTAAAAACAACAACAAAACAGCTTACCACAGCTGGATTCAAGCACCAGAAGTTGAGTCTGTTTACGGCCGTTTTACGTCGTGATCTTTTCCGAGGACGGGCCAAGAAACCGTCTTTATCCAGAATCTCAGGTGGGTTTTCATTCATCCAGATGAAAGTTTGCTGCAGGGCAATTCGGTAATCGTCGGCAAATCTAAGGAGAAGCAAACTGAAAATGTAGACAAATCCCTGAAACGTATTGAATTAGGAGGACCGCAATTGGTAGAAACTGGAGAAAAAAGAAGGGCAGTGAAACCTTTACTGACCTGTGGTTTTCTTTGAAAAGATAGTGGATGACCATAAAGAGACCTTTTAGGATAAATTGAGTCGAAGGACTTATAACTGGAATGGAAACCGGTTGGTCTAACCCAGAAAACTTTTCTTCCTTTTCAAGCACAGTGTGAAGATGTTTCTAGGAAAGAGCAAAACGGTTAAGGAGGGACTTTAAAGAGCCTGCATAATTATTCCACGGGGATGGGGCTCCTCTGTTTCCACTGCATTCAAAAGAACAAGAATCGCAACAATATGCATTAAGAAAGGCCCGCCAAACGTTTTGAAGACCAGTCCCACCAATACTGACAGGGCTGGTTGCTAGTATATCGACAGAGAGTAAACCCTACTCCCGTGGTGGCGAACCTATGGCACGCGTGCCACAGGTGGCATGCAGAGCCCTCTCTGTGGGCACGCGCGCCCTCACCCCAGTCCTAGGCCTTCAGCTGGGTTTTATAAAACCTTTTCGCTTTAGGCCTCCGCCGAGGCTCAATCAATCAATTTCAACTTCTCGCGGGAAAAAAAAAGATCTCGCAAAGTTGGAATTGATTGATTGAACTTTTTAGTCCCACCCAGTCTGCCGTTACCACCGAAGCCACGCCCACCCAATGGGCCATGCCCACCCAATGGGTCACGCCCACCCAATGGGCCACACCCACCCGGCACTGACAATACATAAGTGGGTTATGGGTTGCAGTTTGGGCACTCGGTCTCTAAAAGGTTCGCCATCACTGCCCTACTCCCTTCTAGCACTGATGATGTAACCTAGTTGGGTCATGAAACATGTGCAAGAAAACAACCAAGCTCAGAGAGCACCAAGGACTCCACAGTCCTCCTCTTCCTCTTCCTCCTGCTCCTCTCTCTCTCTCTCTCTCTCTCTCTCTCTCTCTCCCCTCACCTCACCTCACCTCACCTCACAGGGTTGTTGTGAGGAAAATAGGAAGAAGGAGTATTAGATATGTCAGCCGCCTTGAGTTACTTGTGAAAAAAAAACCAATAAAGGCGGGATACACAGAAATAAGATACATGAATAAAATAAACCCTGAGCTACAAATAGGCACTTCTATTAGTATTTAATTAATGAATTGATTACTAGGTTTCTACAGAGCAAAATCCAAACAATTTAAGAATATTGTGCAAATTTGTTTTAGCCAGATGAATGTTAATACAGGTAGTCCTCGACCTAAGATCACAATTGAGCCCAAAATTTAATGTTGTTAAGTGAGACATTTGTTAAGTGAGTTTTGCCCCATTTTATGACTTTTCTTGCCACAGTTGTTAAGTGAATCATTGCATTTCACAAGTTATGTGAATCTGGCTTCCCCCATTGACTTTGCTTGTCAGACGGTCACAAAAGGGGATCACAGCAACGGTCATAAATATGAACCAGCTGCCAGGCGTCTGAATTTTGATCACGTGATCATGGGGATGCTGCAAAGGTCGTAACTATGAAAAACGGTCATAAGTCACATTTTTCAGTGCCGTTGCAACTTTGAACAGTCACTAAACGAACTATTGAAAGTTGAGGACTACCTGTAGGCTGTTTTTACCATTGAGTTCCAAAACAGTTTTGAAGATGGCATCTTCAAACTGATTTTCATGTATCGTTAAAAATTCCTACCTGTAAAAGGGGAAATAAGGCCACTGTAATTCCCATTTCATGCAAAATGGCCACCATTTGACTTCCGCTCCAGACTTTGCTTGAGGTCTCATAACCGCTCTGGATCAGCTGACTGCAGGCAACCCTTAACCAACTGCAAAACAGGCAAATTTTATAGAATAGAGTAGAATGGAATAGAATGAAATAATAAGAATGGAATGGAATGGAATGGAATGGAATAGAATAGAATAGAATAGAATAGAATAGAATAGAATAGAATAGAATAGAATAGAATAGAATAGAATAGAATGAAATAATAAAGTAGAGTAGAGTAGAGTAGAGTAGAGTAGAGTAGAGTAGAGTAGAGTAGAGTAGAAGGAACAGAATAGAATGAAATAATAACAATAGAGTAGACTAGAGTAGAGTAGAGTAGAGTAGAATCAGGAAGAATAGAATGGAATGGAATGGAATGGAATAGAATGGAATGGAATAGAATAGAATTCATTTACTAAACAAATTTAGATGACCACCAAGTAACACAATCATTTCCACCTCAAACTCCCGAAGCTCATTTTCACTCCACTGCTAAGTGCTCTTCACTTACTTTGTCAGACTGTAGCACACAGCACGCAAAGGCTCGTGGTCGTTCGACCTAATGTGGTTGTTCACCATCGCGTCCAGCTCCTCTCGTGCCAATATGAGCTGTTCCTCCGTCACGTTATAGCTGGCCGACTCCCGTGCACAGTCCTCAATATTATGAGCTTCGTCTAAAATCAGCACCTGACCTTTCAGCTCAATTTCCATCTGCAAAAATTGAAATCAATTAGTTTATCAATTAGCAAAAGCAGCCTTCTTTTTATTTGGAAATAATAATAATAATAATAATAATAATAATAATAATAATAATAATAATAATAATAATAATAATAATAATAGGCACCTTGGGTGCAATCCCAAAACAACTGGAGCACCACTTGAACACCATTGGCATTGACAAATTCGCCATCAGTCAATTGCAAAAGGCGGCCTTACTAGGAACTGCTTCCATCCTGCGACGAGATCTGTAATACCATCAAACATCCACATCTGCCTATCCCAGATCCTTGAGAAGGACTCGATAGGTGGACAAAAATGCCAAATCCTGTCTGAACATCTGGCTGACTGTGCGATGATCCATAATAATAATAATAATAATAATAATAATAATAATAATAATAATAATAATAATAAAGTTGGAAGGGACCTTGGAGGTCATCTAGTCCAACCCCCTGCTCAGGCAGGAAACCCTATACCATTTCAGACAAATGGCTGTCCGGTCTCTTCTTAAAATCTTCCAGTGTTGGAGCATTCACCGCTTCTGGAGGCAGGTTGTTCTACTGGTTAATTGTCCTCACTGTCGGGAATTTTCACCTTAATTCCAGGTTGCTTCTCTCCTTGATTAGTGTCCATCCGTTGCTTCTTTTCCTGCCTTCAGGTGCTTTGGAGAAGAGCTTGACTCCCTCTTCTTTGGGGCAGCCCCTGAGATAGTGGAAGACTGCTATCGTGTCCCCCCTCGTCCTTCTCTTCATTAAACTGGACATGCCCAATTCCAGCAACCGTTCTTCAAAATTTGATTGCTTGGCATCCAACGTGTATTTACAACGGGTGCAATAGCCTGGGGTCGTGTGACCGTCATTTACAACTAAGCCGTGGTGGCGCAGTGGTTAGAATGCAGTACTGCAGGCTACTTCTGCTGACTGCCGGCTGCCTGCAGTTCAGCAGTTCAATTGTCACTGGCCCGAGGTTGACTCAGGCCTCCATCCTTCCGAGGTCGGTAAAATGAGGACTCAGATTGTTGAGGGCAAGAGGCTGATTCTGTAAACTGGTTAGAGAGGGCACTGTGAAGCGGTATATAAGTCTAGGTGCTGTTGCTATTGCTTCCTTCCCTTCTTTCTCTCCCTCTCTCCCTTTCCTTCCTTCCTTCCTTCCTTGTCATGGTGATGCAATGATTAAAATGCAGCATTCAGGCAAAAACTCTGCCCACTGCCAGGAGTTCGATCCTGACCAGTCCAAGGCTGACTCGGCCTTCCATCCTTCTGAGGTCAGTAAAATGAGGACCCAGATTGTTGGGTTACAGAGGCTGACTCTGTAAATCGCTTAGAGAGGGCACAGTGAAGCGGTATATAATAATAATAATAATGATAAAGGTGGAAGGGAGCTTGGAGGTTATCTAGTCCAACCCCCTGCTCAGGCAGGAAACCTTATAGCATTTCGAACAAATGGCTGTCCAGTTTCTTCTTAAAAACTTCCAGTGTTGGAGCATTCACCGCTTCTCAGCTGGTTTCCAGCAAGCAAAGGCAATGAGAAAATCCACACGCGTTTAAAGGCCACGTGATTCACTTAACAACTGCCCTGATTCACTTAGGAACCATGGCCATAGAGGTCATAAAAATGGGTACAACTCATTTAAAAATCTCCTTGCTTCACAAGGGAAATTCAGACCTCAATTGTGCTTGTAATTCGTGGGCTACCAATGTTACGGGTAATCCTCAACTTATAACCACAATTTCTGTTGTTAAAAAAGACAGGCTTTAAGCGGTTTTGCCCCACTTTATGACCTTTCTTGCCACAATTAAGTGAATCACCGCTCTGAAGTTATTCACACGGTTGTGAGGTGGATCTGGTTTCCCCATTGATTTCACTTGTCAGAAAGTCGCAAAAGGGGATCACGTGACTCCGGGCCACTGCGACCGTCGTAAATACAAACTCCTGACAGTGAACAGAGTTTGCCTGCAATAGTAATAGCAATAGCACTTATAGACTTATATACTGCTTTACAGTGCTTTATTGCTCTCTAAGCAGTTTACAGAGTCAGCATATGCCCTGCCCCCAACAATCTAGGTCCTCATTTTACCAACCTTGGAAGGACGGAAGGATGAGTCGACCTTGAGCCAGGATCGAACTCCTGGCAGTGGGCAGAGTTTGCTTGCAATATTCCATTCTAACCACTGCACCACCACCACAAGTTAGTAACACAGTTATTAAGTGAATCTGGCTTACCCCATTGACTTTGCTTGTCAGAAAGTCACAACAGGTGGATCACAAGACCCCGGGACATTGTGACCGTCATAAATATGAACCAGTTGCCAAGCATCCGAATTTTGACCACGTGACCGTGGGGACGCTGCAGTGGTTGTAAGTGTGAAAATGAGTCATAGGTCATTTTTTCCATTGCCGCTGTAACTTCGGTCACTAAACAAATGGTTTTAAGTCGAGAACTATCTATATTATGGTATTACACTCCAAAGAATCTGCTTGCTTTTGCCTAAGAACTCTCTGTACGGGGCAGTTCAAACTTTTTTTCCCCCCTCCTTCCTCTTACAACACATTGGATCTAATATAAAGTAAATGTTCCTCTTTGTGAGAGATTTTGGGGAAACTGGCACAGGAAGAGGAGAGGGAGCAGACGTAAACAATCCAGGGACAGGGAATGAATTATTTGATGGCTTATCTCCTAAATTGCGAGACAGACCAAGGGGTGATGAACCCAGGATAAAACATTTCTAATAATTGTCCCAAAGATGCTTTTTCAGCAGGCAACTGGACTTTCTTGTTTTTCTTTGAAGACGTTTTGCTTCTCATCCAAGAAGCTTCTTCAGCTCTGACTGGGATGGTGGGGAATGGAAGGATTCATACTCCTTGTAGACAGCTGGTCATCTGCATTCTTTTAGAGCAGGGGTCTTCCAACTTGGCCCTTTGATGACTTGTAGACTTCAACTCCCAGAATTCCTCAGCCAGGAGTTCTGGGAGTTGAAGTCCACAAGTCATCAAAGGGCCAAGTTTGAAGACCCCTGTTTTAGAGAGTCATTAAAGCCATTTGGAGGTTTACCTGTGTTCTCACGGACACCAAGGAATATTCTGTTGCCTGCTCTCAAAAGTGTACACACACATAACACACACACAAACTTGCTATATACCAGATGTCCCCAACCTTTTGGGCACCAGAGACCGGTTCCGTGGAGAAAGTTTTTTCCATGGACTAGAGAGTGCGTGGTTTTGTGTGCTGCCTGCATCCCACGGATGGGGCTTTGCTTGTTTGTGCAGCCCGGTTGCTGGCCCAGTACTGGTCCATGGACCGGAGGTTGGGTACCCCTGCTATATACAACATATGTATAAACCAACAGCCTTACATATAAATGCATATAAATATTAATCACTGTCCATCTTGAATACATGATGAAGCTTGAGAGTTAACAAGGTTGATGTTATTTGGAACATTGTGAATGCTCCAAGACTGGAAGTTTTTAAGAAGAGACTGGACTGTCTGAAATGGTATAGGGTTTCCTGCCTGAGCAGGGGGTTGGACTAGAAGACCTCCGAAGTCCCTTCCAACTCTATTTATTATTATTATTATTATTATTATTATTATTATTATTATTATTATTATTATTATTATTATTATTATTATTATTGATCATCGCACAGTCAGCCAGATGTTCAGACTGGATTTGGCATTTTATCTACCTATCGAGTCCTTACCAAGGACCTGAGATAGGCAGATGTGGATGTTTGATGGTATTACAGATATCGTCGCAGGATGGAAGCAGTTCCTAGTAAGGCCGCCTTTTGCAATTTAATGGCGAATTTGTCAATGCCGATGATGGTGTTCAAGTGGTGCTCCAGTTTGGGGATTGCACACCAGGCGCCTATTACTATTGGTACCACCCTTGCTTGCCTTTGCCACAGTCTTTCTATTTCTATTTGTAGGTCTTTGTATTTTTTTATTTTTATTATTATTATTATTACTGTTGTTGTTGTTGTTGTTGTTATGGATGTTCTGCTTCGGATACCATGGAGCCCCCCCCCCCCCAGAAGGTAGCAAGGAAAACAGGTCACGAACAGAATGTGTAGCGTCCCAGACAATCCTGGGAAAAGATATTCATACTTACGCTTTCTCTTATCTGAGAGTCCAAAAGGTAGTTGTATGGACAGAACACAATCTCGGCATACGCCATTAGCTCGCGAGCGGCAAAGTAGGCGCAGGATCGGAGTTTCTTTCCCAAGCGCACCAATTCTTCCAGATCCCAAGTCTGATGTTTTCTATCTGCCGACGGTATCGAGAGACGCTCGGTCAGCCTATGGGCTCCGTGATAAAAAGAACAAGACACGCCCTGGAAACAGACAATTGAGAATTTATTTATTTTTTTAAAAAAAACAGCCACGAACCTTCATGTGCAGGTAGTCCTCGACTTACAGCCGTTCATTTAGTGACTGTCCTAAGTTAGAACGGCCCTGAAAAAAGTAACGTAGGACTGTTCATCACATGATCATTGCAGCGTCCCCACGGTCACGGGATCAAAATTCGGGCATTTGGCAACTGACTCATATTTATGACAGTTGCAGTGACCCCCTTTTGCGACCTGCTGACCAGGAAAGTCAATGGGGAAGCCAGATTCGCTTAACAACCGGGTTACTAATTGAATCACTGTAGTGATTTACTTAACAATCATGGCAAGGAAAGTCGTAAAATGGGGCAAAACTCACTGAACAAATTTCTCACTTAGCAACAAAAATCCTGGGCTCAGTTGTGATCGTAGGTCGAGACTACCCGTATAGGGTCTCCTGCTCGAGCCAGGCGGGCGGGTTGGACTAGAAGACCTCCCAGGTCCTTTCCAATTCTGTTATTCGGAAATCACACTCACCTCTTTTCCTTCCAGCAACTCTGAGCACTTTTCATTCTTGTTGCTCCCTCGGGAGACCCGTGGATGGACGCAGGAATACTCCCTACTTGACAGAATGGTCATGCGAACGCTTGAGTAGCGAGTCCGGTGCAGCTCCTTCACAATCTGAGCTATTTGCTTGTGAGTTCGGGTGCCGAAAAATATTTTGGGGATCGGCAACTTCCCTCCATTCTCCTTCTTAGCCTCGGCAGCATTTTTGGTGTTTTGCTCAAGGTCGAAGCAAGAACACTTGGTGCAGGGAGTGGGAGGCTGTAACTATGGGGGGGAAAAAATCCCATTAAAGATACTAATTTGGCAATTTGGCAAAAACTGGATGGAAGGGTCAGTCACTGCAATCCTACTGGACCAATTGGGAGTGTGCAGTTTGTTTATGTGATTTATATTCCACTGTTATTATTTTTTATAAACCACTCAAGACAGCAAACGTATCAAATGCTTCGTCTTCCTCCTCTTTTCCTCACAACAGCCCTGTGAGGTGAGTTGGGCTGAGAGAGTGACTGGCCCAAGGTGACCCAACTGGGTTTCATGCCTAAGGAGGGACTAGAACTCACACCCTCTTGGTGACCGACCCAAAGTCACCCAGCTGGCTTTCATGCCTAAGGCAGGACTAGAACTCATTGTCTCCTGGTGATTGGACCAAGGTTTCATGTCTAAGGCGGGGCTAGAGCTCTCAGTCTCCTGGTGATTGGCCCAAGGTCACCCAGTTGGCTTTCATGTCTAAGGCGGGTCTAGAACTCTCAGACTCTTGGTGATTGGCCCAAAGTCACCCAACTGGCTTTCAAGCCTATGACGGGTTTAGAACTCTCAGTCTCCTGGTGATTGGCCCAAAGTCACTCAGGTGACCCTGAGGACACGGGTAAGCCTCCAGGTGGCATCAATGACTCTCTAAAACAGTGGTTCTCAACCTTTTTAATGCCGCGACCCCCAACCGGTCGTAAGTCGAGGACTAAACCGGTCGTAAGTCGAGGACTAAACCGGTCGTAAGTCGAGGACTAAACCGGTCGTAAGTCGAGGACTACCCAACCGGTCGTAAGTCGAGGACTACCCAACCGGTCGTAAGTCGAGGACTTTCCCTGCCCGGGAGCGCCGCACATGCGTGGCTCTGCCCCCTGCGCCGGCCGAGGCGTAGCTGGCAAGCGGCAGAGACGGAGCAGGCCGACCACCAGCTGGCCCAGCCCAAGGGAGGTAAGGCACCCGCTGGAAAAGGGGAAAAAAATGGCGGACAAAAAAAATGGCGGACGGCCTTGCTTGGCGACCCCTGTGAAATGGTCGATCGACCCCAAATGGGGTCACGACCCATAGGTTGAGAACCGCTGCTCTAAAAGAAGGCAAATGACCAGCTTTCTGCAAGGAGTATAAAAATCCTTCCGTTCCTCACCATCCAGTCCGAGCTGAAGAAGCTTCTTGGATGAGAAGTGAAATGTCTTCAAAAAAAAAAAAAAAACCCAAGGAAGTCCAGTCACCTCCTAAAAAAGCACCTCTGGGACAACCATGACCTGGATGACTGAGAATCTCCATAGACATTCAGTGACCCTGTTGACCCGGAATTAGGAGACCGCATAGGAAGTATCACTTGTGAATATCTGCAGATGACCCTGCTGTCTTTGGGCACTTGCAGAGTCATGGATGCAGGGTCATGAAAGGACAGCAAGAAAAACACCCAATGTCCTAACCCACCCAGGAACGTACAATGTCTTTAGGGAAATACCCAAAGGGAACATTTGTAGCTACTTCTGCTTTCTCCCTTCTTATCTACAGTGCGCCAGACTTACTGGGTGAAATCTTTATCTTATGTGTGTTCAGCTTTGCTGGGTGGGTTGCTTATGTAATCAGAAAGAATAAATACAAGGATGTCTTGTCATTCGGGGCCTCTCTCTTTTAGAGGAGCCCGTCTTTGTTCAGCTGAATAAAAATGTAAAGCTTAAAGGCAACTTCTGGTTTCCTGTATTTGTTTTATCAAGCAAAACCCTCAGAACCCTAAAAACCCTAAAAACTGGAAGTTTTTAAGAAGAAACTGGACAGCCATTTGTCCAAAATGGTATAGGGTTTCCTGCCTGAGCAGGGGGTTGGACTAGATGACCTCCAAGGTCCCTTCCAACTTTATCATTATTATTCTTATTATTATTATTCTAGAACCTGCACAGCAACCCAGAGAGATGCTGGGTCCTTGGCTGAACGTCGTAAAGCAGAAGATGGACAGCCGTCTGTCAGACCGGCTTTAATTTCGATTCCTGCCCTGAGCTGCTGGTTGATCTCCAGGTCTAAATGGTTCCTTCCGCCTCCGGGATTCTAGCGTTCACTCTGGTCTGTGATCCTTACAAGGCCAATAATAACGGCGACAATGACAGCGAGGCCACATCATCTTCCCAGCATGAAAAAAAAATGTCACACTGACACGGAGAAGCAGACACACACAGTACTCCTGTCCAAATCCCCCTTCCCTCCATCCTCTTAATTGTAATCAGTAAGATTATCCTCCCCCACCCCACCCACCCAGCGTAAGCAAATGCTAAGTCACCGGGCGCGTTATGCTACAGTAGTCAGGATCAACTATCTCCTCGCCTGGGCTCTATGGAAAAGCGGGTTCCAATTACCCCTCGTCCCCACTCGAGCGTGTCTGGCGTTAAAAATGACAATGCAGGGTAGAACGGGCCGTCAATGCAACCCCTTCAGGAGCTGCCAGCCAAGCGGGATAAAAGGCCGGCGGACGTGCCAAAGAAACGGAGCCGTCCGCGTGGATAAAGTTACCGGCCGCGCTGGAATCGTTACATTCCTCTCTCAAGTTGCCAGAAACGGCAGATTTCATTATGTCGTCCTGCCACATTAAACAGAGGCTTCCAAATAGCCGCTCTTCTCGATATTGAATAATTACTTATTCACCCCCAAGGATAAAAGGGAGACTTGATGAATGGGCCCCCTTGTCCGCCGGCGAGAAGGAAACAGCTGACGCAGGGTGTCTATTACATACCCCGCTCTCTTGGCCTCAGTTCTGTAGTCGGACAGAAAAACTGGAACTCAAACTATGCCGCGTGATATTACAGTCGACACTTGTCGGGTTTTGTTTTGTTGGGTTTTTTTTTTTCAGAAAAGAAGGAGGAAAGATATCGCTAGGCGCACGCGGCCCTGAACACGAGCGCACAAAACTAGGGTGAAGCGCCTGCTGATTGAATGGTTGGTAGGGGTGTTTGACCCAACGGGGAACGCCTAGAGAAGGGGGACACCTGGTTAGGAACCTGTCTAGGGGGCAGGCGGTTTCAGGAAATACGGGTAGTCTTCGACTTACAACAGTGCATTTAGTGACGGTTCAAAGTTGCAACCGCACTGGGGAAAGTGACTTCACGGTGACGACCTTTGCAGCATCCCCGTGGTCACGTGATCAAAATTCAGACGCTTGGCAGCTGCTTCGTATGTCGTGGTTCCGATAGATGAGACCAGTAAAAAGAACTCCGAGGCTAAAAAGCTTCCTTAAAGAACATATTTATTTGGCTACATAATATCGGCAGGGTCAAAAGTGAACCCAAGACTGAAATACCGCCCCACACACTAAGGTTACAAAGTTACAAGTGAAACTTCCCACCCGTTATAAATCACATTCTCCAATTAACAACTTGCATGGGCTTTCTAACGAAAGATACAACCCGCCAAAATGCAGCTAGCAATGACCTTGGTTCCCACAGAACAATGTATTGTTATGACTTAAGATAAAACTCTCATCTCCCTACTCCCAAGTCTGTCTATGGCAGTGGTGGCGAACCTATGGCACACGTGCCAGAGGCGGCACTCAGAGCCTTCTGTTGGCACGCGTGCCACTGCCACCAGCAGCAGGTCCATCAAGCCGCCACCACCGCCCGGAGCAGGAGCCCTGCCCAGCACAAAGGAGGTAAAGCGGCCGACTAGCAAGCTCGAGTAGAGGTGGTAGAGCAGAGGTCACCAACCATTGTCGATTGGCAGACTGGAAGAAAAGAGAGGAAGAAGCATTTTACATGCGTGCGTGCACACACGGGGCCACGAGCATGCATGCACTGCAAATGGGGTGGGGCTAGTGGCTGTGTGATACTCACTAGCCCTGCCCCGTTCTTGCGTGGTGCAGTGCCTTGTACTTGCACCCTGCGGCGCGGCGGCAGCCGTGTTTGCGCCTTGCAGTACGGTGGCCCATTATTGCACCCCTGGTTTTTGCATGCCAAGAGGTGGCACTCAGAGGCGCCTCCCTGCCCCACCGAGGGCACCACAATGCTGATGCGCCCCTGGCACTTTGCGATAAATAAGTGGGTTTTGGGTTGCGGTTTGGGCACTCAGTCTCTAAAAGGTTCGCCATCACTGGTCTATGGCAACCGAAAATGAAGGGAAAATGGCTTCAGCTAATTTCGTTGTAGAGCTGACATCATATTTATGATTGTTGCTGTGTCCCAAGGCCATCTGATCCCCTTTTACGAAATTCTGACAAGCAAAGTCAAGGGGGAAGCCAGATTCACTTAACAACTGGGTTACCAACTTTAGCAACCCCAGTGATTCACTTAACAACTATGGCAAGAAAGGTCATACAATGGAGCAAAGCTCACTTAACAATAGAAATTTTGGCCTCCATTGTGGTCATAAGTTGAGGACGACCTGTAACGGAGGAATAGGGAAGGGGGAAGGACATCAGCCTGGCAACCAAATATAGGTTTGTTTGTTTATTCGTGTCAGAAGCATCACAATTAAAATAAGGCACACTATGTAATGCAAAATGTAAAATGTAAGATTAAAATATGTACTGGTTAAACAGATCATGCCCAGAAACTAGCAACGTTAATTGTGTTCTGTCGTGCTGTGATGAGGTTCTCAAGTGTACATTGATCAGGACACAAAAGGAAGGTATACATAGGTGTTGTTGTCTGTGTGTCACCACGATCAAGGATGAAACTTTGGCAGCTATGTGCCTCTGCGTTTCAACTGCCTTTAGATTGAGGGGGGGAGGTGTTACTTTCAAGTGGGTAAGATGGAGAAACGAAACTTCTTTGATTCAGCTGCAGACGGTGGGAGCCCGAAGCCTTGTCAAGGACACCAGAACAGATGTGGATTTGAAGGAGACGGTTCCCATAAAAAAAAAATGAACTTGTTAATATGGATTACGTAAGACGTTGGGGGTTTGGCTGGGAAAATTATTGTTTAAGCTTATGAATTGGTGTTGGGACCTCAGAGTTAGTTTTGCTTCGGCATAACCAAGCAATGTATTCAATAAACAGTAAGATTTTTGGAAACGGAATGAA